GGCCAACGACGTGGCCGAGGCACCAATGAGCGCCATGGCAATGGTGGTGGTGAGGGAGAGCTTCATTGCGAGCGTAGAGTAGGCTAGTTAGTAGGGCAGTGTCCGGTGGTGGAACGAGTAGCGGAGATGGTAGAAGCGAAAGGTGGGGTGGACAGAGAGCGTGCACGCTTGCTTGCTTCTTGTGGTCGGAAGGGGTAAGGACGAATCGACCAGCGAGTCTGTCGTGAAGGAACGTGCGTTGGGCGGGCGATGTGGGTGGGGATCAACCTGAGGAAAGAAGGGAAAGGTGAAAGAAAAAACAGAAGCAGGGACCTATTTAAATGTGCCATGGATCATACTCGCTTCATGGGCCGATGCGGTTCCCCCAGCCCATGATAGAATGCGACAAGGGAAGCGCAGCGCGCTCCTTGGTGTCCTCCCTATGCTGCCCTCTGAGCTCAGCACGCGCAATGTACTTACTATCCAAATTCAAACTATCGGAGATTCAGGGACTCTTACGCAGGAAGTACGTGGCCAACACATACACAGGCGGCGGTACTCACGGAGTCACCCAGTGCCACACAGTCAAGGACCAGGCTTGCTCCACAAACAAAGCCACGTGTGGAGTCACGGTTCATGCATCTTTGATGCGCGCCCACCCATCACCGCTTTCCTTTCTCCGTTGTGCTACACAAGGCTCATTCGTCCCCATGTTGTCACATGCCAGTGGGAATGGTGTACATACAATGATTTGTGTCTGTCTCTACATAACAGGTGCCCAGTGGCAGACCTGATTGGACACTTTGTACACATTCTGTCACATTGCCCTCCGGACAATTCCGAAAGAAGCTCGACATGAGGCTAAGAACGCCTTAAGCGCTCAACAGGCGCGATCTTGGCTGAGATCATGATCACGATACAATTGCTAAGTTCACCCACGCTTCATTTTATATTTCCAGTACGTACACCATGTATGAGGCGCTCGGGAATGGGCCAACCAAAGTCTGCAAACCTGCTCTACTCCTTCGCACCTATGCCTCATGACAAGGGGGCCTAGAGCCGAACAGGCCTCTGGGACCCCCGAGAGGTCGCCTTCGTATGTACATAGGACTTGGCCAGTCCTGTTGACCAAAAACGCCTCCATACAAGTGACCCAGCGCGGCTGCCATGCCTGGAGCAACATTTGCAGTCCTGCAGGAGGGTGCCGCTCGGGAGGACCTGGACGTGCATAGCAGAGAAAAGTCCAGAAGAAGAAAGGTGACGAGCGTCAAATGTCAACAAGACCTGCTGCTTGCTCCCATGCTGACAACTTTCAGCTGAGCGAGGTGGATGAGGAGTTTGAATGTACACACACATGTATGACAGCAACAGAAGTGACGAAAGTGCTCCAAGCAGGCTCGGAGTGTTCGAGAATTTTGCTTCCGAAAATGCAGACAGGAATGAAAAGGCAGTGCGGAGCAGGCGGGACGATCAGGTGTTCTTCCGCCACAACATTTTCAGGCAGCATTCTCTTGTACTCTCAGTCCGTCGCTCAAAGGCGCGCGCTGGAAGTACGATTTGATGTCGGCGTGAGGGGGCCATGTGAGCGACTGTCGCTGCGGCCTTCCCTCGCGCTGACAGGCTCTGCCACACGCTGCAACAGTTCCGCTTCATTGGATGACTTGCACTAATGTGCTGAATTCCCGCGGGAGGATGGGCGAGCACGTGATTGCTTTCACACAGCTGCGTAGCGCAAGCCTGTTTCACGATTCTGCCATGGACCAGCGCGCAGCGCAGCAGCGTCGCCGGCATGTCTATATCGATCGGAAGTAGCAGCTCGTGCGCTACCCTGTCGGGGAAAAGGTCATGAATGCAAGCTGGCGGGTGGGACCGTTGGACAGAATCTGCTCCTCGCGGAGGATTCATTCTTCATTGCCGAGCAGAACCGCGACACTGGTTAAGCCCAAGCCGATGGGCACGGGACGATTGCCTCGGCCTACACCCTCACCCGCTGGTATAGCCTGTTACTTCGTCAAATTTTGTGGCCCAGGGATTGCTGTTAAGGATGGAAAGGATGACTTGACGATACATTCACCCCTAGGCCCCAACCCGGGCGCATCCACCAGCGTCTCCGCTTTCTCTTATCACCCACGCTCGACTATGCTATATGCACATGTATGCTCCTCAGACGTATATAAATCTAGGCATTATCGTAGAGTGCCTTTGCACCTCTGGGGTTTGACCTGCTGTGAGCGCCGACTGTCGCAACATACGAACGGCGTTCCCCAGAGGAGGGCGTGTTTGAGCATGATGGGTGGATGACTGCATGTTGTATGATTGCTTGGGTCAGTTAAAGGCCGAAAGGCGCTTCAACGCCTTGCCAGGGGCACCACCGTCTGAGTGATTGAAAACTTTGTCAAAAGAATTAGAAAAACAACTATATTTTGATTGGCCACTTGCAACAATCCAGTGTGTAGCTTAAATACAAACAATGAGTCGGTTGAAAGAACTTTCAGACAGGGTCTCTGAAAAGCCTAAAGGATTGGCGTCAGGAGTATATTGGTGCTTCTCGACAGAGCCACAGATGGGTCAGAGTGCTGGGCGAACACAGAACGCAAGGTGCTGTCGAATTTTGTAGGTCTCTGGGAACTTAGCATAGTCTTTTCCGTCGTTGCTGCGTGCAATAGACGCAGGAGCTTCGGTGGCGGCCGCGAGTGCAAGCTTTGTGGATGACGGAGACGCCTTGGCCCCCTTGTTACCCTCCTTGCCAAGGCCGGAGCATTGTGCGACTTGGAGGAGCCAGTAGGAGGTCAAGCACAGGATGTAGGTGAAAGCAATGTAAGGTACCATGATGTCGAAGTTTCAACAGTGGTTGTTGGCAGAATAGTCTACCTGCTGGAGGTAGTTGTCACCGACCTTGTAGGTGCAATATCCGCAAGTACCGTCCGCATTCTAGACAAAGTATTCATGTCCGTCCAATTGAGACCTGCTGTGATCCATTTCGAGGGAGAGCACAAAGTCCGCAATGTAGGAGGCGTAAGTGCTGCCAAAAGGGAGCCTGATGGCGCTGAGCTCTTTGTCGCTGCAGTAGACGGTAGTGTCTTCCAGAACGGGGTCCAGCATGCCTTGGATCAGGTACGTTATAGGGCTGAGATGGTACATTCAGCTGCGCAGAGGTAGGGCATCCCGAACAGCGGTTGCATAACGCCGCAGTAGGTGAGGATGAGGAAAAAGACAAGCGGAACAGGACCGAGATGGTAGCATTGGGCGTCTTGGCGGAAAAGGACTGCGGGAGCGAGGCAATGTCAGCTGCCAGAGATTGTAGAAGCCCAGAAAATGCCGCCAATTTTACCCTTATTGAAACCGACTATAGAGTACCATGGGATGCAAATGAAGCAAGCAGAGCATATGTTGAAGGGTACCTCGACGATGACGCATGAGAGCACCATGACCTGCGATGAGTACATCTTGCTGGGCGTCTCGCGCGTCTCGTACAACGCGCGGAACTGGAAGAACACGGGTTGAAGTTGTTGTGGAAGCACTGCAGATGTTGAGGACCATGAAGATTGAGAAGACCTTGCTTTGGAGCGTAGCGGATGTTGTGTAGCTCACCTGTGCCCTGAAGGAGCTGACAATGAAGAGGCCATTGATGGGGTTCAGGAGCATTTTACTGCTCAAATACGTTGGTGGCACCCAGTAGACGGGAAAAGTGCTTGCAAGCGCAGGGTGAAGCTACGCGGAAACGAGGCGGCAAACTCCATGTGCTTATCTGTACTTTGGCCTTCATCGCCTTTCTCAGTTTGTGCAGTCACTGTAAACTTGTGGAGGTCTTCGATGAGATGCTTTTTCAGCGGTGGGTCGAGGAACGGTTAGTACCAGTTGACCGCAGGGGTTTGCCCGGCACCGGCGCCGATGACATCGAGCATATATTCAGCAGTCTTGCGTCCTCGACGCATTTTTGCCCAGCTCTTCAAAGTAGCGGATCAAAGAATCGCGCCCGTTGTCGCCAAAGTAGACCGACTTGACCCCTTTTTCAGAAGGAGCAGGCGGTCGAGTTGGTTGACCAGCTCTCCTGAAGGTTGGTGGATGATAAAGAGGATCGTCGGGCCGCATTGTGTGAGCATGCACAAGAGCTTGACGATCGACCAGGCTGTCATGGCACCCAAACCCGAAGTAGGCTCGTCCATGAAGAGAAGCAGCTTTGGATTTGCGGCCAGCTCGACAACGATCGTCTGTCGCTTGCGTTGCTCCTAGTTGAGTCCTTCGCTCGAGTGACCAACGACGGTGTCTGCAAAAAACTGCATTTCAAGAAGGTCGAGCACTTCCTCCGCACATTCCAGCTTTCCGCATTGGCATATCGCGGCCCTAACGAAGCAGAGCAGAGAACTGGACGGCCTCGGGCAAGGTCTGTTATCGAGATGCAATCCTGCTGCTGGCAATGGCCTATCGCTGATTGAAAGTCGAGCGGACACGTGTCGACACGCTGAGCCAGCATGTTGAGCAGTGCGGTCTTTCCTGCTTATGCAGATGGTCTGGGCCAAGCTTGTCTGCACCGGCACTCCGAAGATGCCAGGGACGAAGTGGCCTCAGTACCGCTCCGCCGGCAATCAGCTGCTGATTCAGCACGGCAACCTCATCATCAGGGACAACTACCGCTCGATGGCTATGAAGGTCCTTTCAAGTACAAGAGCCTTGTCGGCTTCTAACAAGTATCAGCACCATCAATCTGACACATGGCTCATCGGAAATGGGTTTACAAGTATATTAATTGGTAATATATTGTCTATGAGAAAAGCACACGCGTGATCAACAAAATCTGCTATATTGTATGCACTGGACATCTAATATTTCAATGAGATCTGAAGTCGCGAAGGTGCATTCCGAGTCCTCCATTTCTGGCGTCCATGATGGTGATCGGGCACAGCCATTGAAAGGTCCCTGATGGGGCACGCACGAGACCTGACAGGCGTCGCGAATGCAATTGCAAAGTATCTACTACAGCATAGCTCTGAATACATCCTGGCCTTTCTTTCCGCCAGCAGGCTCTGCCGGCGGCTCGTCCGTATCCATTGCTTCGGGCAACGCCTTCTGGGGCACCGAATGCCCTACATCTGCCTTTCCTCCGCGACCTCGTCGCCCGCCCCTACCAGCAGCTCGAGGCGCAAAAGCGGTCGCAGACTCCGGTATTGTGGGATAGGAAGTTGTGCTGCCAATTCGGCCGGCGGCTGCGCCACGATATTCCAATGGGCTGATGGCCAACGGCACGCCTTGGCCGTATGTGAGATTCGATGCGAGAATGAAACGCCCAGCGGTCTGGAAGACGGGACCGACGGAAGGGTCAGCCAGCATGCCTATGATTCGGATCCGCTCGAATGACTCGCAGCTGGGTCCACCATTTCAACGATCGCCTCGCCCCGACTCTCTGGCCCTGGATTCCACTCAACCTTCTTGACAGCCCCTGCACCCACCACCTTCTCAACCAGTTGCTGTATCAGAGCTTCTTGTGCATCATCGGGGAGGCCATGTAGACGTATCGATCGGCTGCGGAAGCCCTGACCCCCGCCAACACGCACTGGCCCGCTTGGCTTGTTTGCGATGCTGACCTTGAGAGCCTTACCTTGATATGTCGAGCCGTTGACCTGAGCGACAGCCTTTTGCGCTTCGAGAGGCGTTCGATAATCAACAAAGCCTATACCTTTGGCTTTACCAGCATCGCTAAGCGGCATCCTGAAGCCTTCAACTGTCCCATGCAGCTCGAACAGCGCGCGCACTTCAGCTTCAACCGCGTTCGGATGGATACCGGTGATGTACACTTCTCGCTCGTTCACATTCGCGTCGGAGCGCATTTTCCGCCGCTCTGGATCGGACAGGGCCACTTGGAGCGTATTGAGCTCGCTCAGGTGCTGGCCGTCTTCGGCTAAAGCTAAGCGCGCTGCCTCCGGTGACGTAAGCTCGACGTAGCAAAAGCGACGCCTGGATGCGTATTTTTTGCTGGGCCATCGCACGTCGAAAATGCTGCCATACTTGCCAAATCGGGATCGAATGTCCTCGTCGGCAGTTGCCTCCGGGAAGTTGGTGACGTAGAGTGTGCATTCATGACCAATGTGCACCGCAACCTCCGATCCTCTAACTTGTTTTTTGTCTCGAGTGCGAGCGGCTCCAATCGCCCCCCGATCGCTGAACTCAACCAATGCGGCCGCTGTCCCGTCGGTAAGCGCCTTGGGACCCGAAATGTCGACAATCTCGCCACAACCGCGGAACAGCACTCGCAGATCCTGCTCGGTACTTCCTTGGGGAAGCCTGCTGACAAGAACTGAGCAATTTTCGCGGTCCTTTGTCGGTCCTTTTTGGAGTGCCTTGCTCTTCTTGGAAGCCTCGTTGCTGGTGCGCATTGCGTGAAAGGAGGTGGATGCCTCGGCTGGGTCAAGAACATCCTCGGCGCAACGCTTCCCGTTCGCTGATGACGAGGATGCTTTTGGCGGTAGCTGAGCTAGTTGGTTATACTGACCTTGCTGCGCAGCGTATGAGCGATACTGTTGGTTCAAAGGAGCAAGTCAGGCCCCAAACGATGGGTGAGCCAAGGATGACTTACATATGCATCCCAAGCTCGTTCCGTCTCCTCCTTCACTTTCCTGGCCGCATATTCTATTTCAGCGCATCCGCCATAGACATGCTCAAATGCCAGCCATGCGTCCAGAAGCTGGGCCTTGTTCTCCAAACCGGGCTTGCCGCTGACTTGCTTGAACAGTGAACGTGCTTTTGCAGCTTGACTCGTACGGATACAGTACTGAGCTGCCTCATGCCAAGCTTTGGCATTTTTTGGCTGAGCAGTGAGGGTCTTTTCCCAGAGCTCATCAGCCAAGGCCGCAGTCTCTGCACCACATCGCTCGCACCAGCCTGAAGCAAACCGTTCGAGTCTGACTTCCGGGTCAGGCAGCGGTTGGGTGGGCGCAAGCTGCATGCAGAATTCGATCACTCCAAACACCTGCGAAAAGCGGGCTACATCACCAGCTAGAACAACATTTTCGACGGAGACACCCTGCTCTGCAGCCGCAGCTAGCAAGACAAATTCTTTTTCTGCGTCGCATCGGCCAAGAAGCAGATCCGCCCAGCTGGCGGGGTCTTGCAAGCACTGTCCATTTGAAAGGGCACGATTGAAGGCCTCGGCAACTTCTACCTCGCCTCGATGCAGTCGCGCCAAATTTCGGAGATAGATCGCCCACGTCTTGCCTGAGCCTGGCAAAGAGCGTACAGCTTGCGCACAAGAGTCTAACACCTCACTTGGCGTGGCTTTGTGCAGAGCCTGCAAGAAGCACAAACATTCAGAATAGGCACTAGGCTGACTTTCCGGGACAGATTCACAAGGAAAGAGAGGTAGTCCACCCAGAGACCCTCAGCCTGCGCAGCTTTGGCTGCAAGCTCTTGTCTCTCTGCCTCTTTCGCAGCAGCATAGTTCGCTTTGCCAGCCCTACCTTCTCTCACCTCTGCCTGGAAATGAGGTGTTGGAGGATTTCGGATCTCATCTTCTGTCAGCGTCGGCGGTTGAGCAAAAGCAAAAATAGCACGTTTGTATAGCGCCGAAGTCATGAGCAGATCAAGTGGTTTTTGCGATACCTGCCATCGCAAATACGGCTTGACAGCTTGGAAGTCTCCTTTGAATTTTGCTGCAGCAAATCTGTCTTCGTAACGCTCCCTCTGCGTAAATGCTTCCTTTGCTGCTGCTGCACCCCTGCTTGCTGCGGCCATGATGGGCTCATACTCCTCCGGATTGAGAAAATTGGAGACAAACGCTGACAGTTGTTGCGCAGTATGGTCGTGCTGCATGTGTGGAACGCGGAGACGTGAGATGAAAGCCTGCTTAACTACTTCTTTGCGTGCGGCGCTCCGATCATGCCGAAAGTAAGCCATTTCGAAAGCGAGGTACGCCTTCCAGGACGTTTGACTCTGCGAGGGCAAATTCTTGAGTCAGCAAGGCAGCAGTGCGGCTTATCGCAACAGACTCACTTCTGCCAGATGGTACGCTACCCGGCTATATGCTTCCCTGAGAGCGTCTCGGACGGCGGATTCCCCCAGGATCGTCTCATATGTTTCCAGCAGCCCCGCTTGCTCTGCCTCGCTTCTTGTTGGTATACGAGGAAGACTCGTCGAAGCATATGTACCATCGGGTTCGATGATTGGGCCCCCTCGAAGGCCTGTCCCCCACTGCACGGGATCCTGCGTTCGGGGTGTACTGCACTCGTCGCAAACGTCCATCTCATCGTCTTCGGCTTGAGCAGGAAGACCTGCAAACGTGATGTGCCAATGGAGCAACAAGCTTGTGAATCTTGCAAAGGCAGATGCATCCATGCCTGTGCCGTCTTGCGTCGCCTGGAGATGGATCTCAAGGCATTGCTGCACCTGTTTCGGCTCTACGAGGCTTTCACCCGACTGTAGCGTTGAATTCTGCAGCTGGTACAAGACAAGGGTGGTGAAAAGTGTCCACTGATCTCCTCGCAGAGAAAGCTTGCCGCTCGTCGTTCGGAATGCTTCGATCAGATTGCTGACATCAGTCGCTAGTGTTTCGGCAGGCGGAGCCGCTACGGGCTTGCCAGCTTGATTCCTGGATCCGGTCGCAGCCAGCAAGCTCTTTTGAATAGATCGGATCCAAGCTGTGTGTGCCACGGGATCCAGGCCCCCGTCCTGGAATTGCTGGTTGGCGCTCTGATTATCCATGCGTGTTCCAGCCATCATGACACGTTGCGTCGCTCGTCCTGCGGTCAGCAGCGGACGTTTCTCAGTGCTTGACCGGAGAACTTGGCGTCAATTGGGATGGGAAGTACTGTGGGTGCTCCGAAGCCTTGTACGGAGTGTCTTCTAAACGATGACGTTCAAGACGAAGCGGAAGAGACTGATGTAAAACTCAGACCACACGTCGGGGAATTAGAACAGCGCGTCGCAACAACACAAACAACGCTACCCAGTGCATCTTCGAATAGATTATGGAGGGCCAGCGAGGTGGCATGTCCGGAAAAGCCGCCGAGTCGACATGTCATATTCTATCTTGCACGGCAGCGGGGTTCGATACATCTATGGTCTTTCATGCTTCTTGAAATCGCCTCAATAATACACACCGCGCACCATGCTATCTTGCCTCGTTGGCTGGGTTGTTGCCAGAGGCGTTCCTTTCGGATTGCTAAGCAGCTGCCTGATCGTTGCCAACAGCCTGCCTGGTAAACCCTAGCGCGGACGCCTTCGGCAGTGCAGCATCTCCATTGGCCGTAGAAACTGCAGCGGGAGCAGGGACCCCTGAAAGGGGAGTGCCGTGGTTTTGGAATGCTCTCTGGGGTGAAGGCGAAACCGCGCGGCGGGACCCCATGTCTAACGGAGCAGCGGGGACGTCTGCCGCACTGCTGCTGTCGACCGATTGTGAAAGAGGCGAGAGCTTGGGGGTGTAGCGAAGTGGGAACGAGCCAGGATGGCTGCTTCCACTCGCCGACGGTACGCGCTGAACCGTGTGCGAGGCAGCAGTGCCAGTGAGCCGCATGGTTGAAGGGGTAGCATACTGTTGCTGTTGCAGTGGGGCGGCGCCATTGGGAGAGCCGTGTGTGGGCAGCGGCGAAGTGTGCGCAGATGCCGGCGTCGACGGCTGCGAGGGTGGCCGAGGTGGCGGCAGCATGCCAGCCGCGGGAGGTTGATTCGAACCTGTCGGCGCGGCTTGCCCAGCATTCAACGCGTGAGTCTGCTGCGAATTTGCAGCTCTAGGCGCTCTCTGGGCGGCAGTGGCACCAGGGGTAATATTTGGCTGCGTATGAGTCTCTGCACCAGCTGGGTAAGCTTGATGAGGAGGCCGCGGCTGCGCTGGGAAATACCCATGCATCGGTAACTGCGAATGCATGTATTGCTGCTGCCCATGCTGCGGCGGGAACCGCTGTGGCGGGCGCTGATACACGAAATGAGGTGAGGGTGAGGGTGCTGGATGGGCGTTCGGCGGAAGATGGTGATGAGCTGGCATCGGGCTGTTGTAGCCGGGAGACGCAGCACTGCCACCGGAAGTCATGGGGCTGTAATGCATGAAACCATGCGGGGCAGCATTGGACATGCCGCCAGCACCGGTTGATGGAGCGGGTCCATTCGACAGACCAGCTTGCGCAACACCTCCGAGCGCGGCACCGGCCGCGGCCGCTTCTGCTTCCGCTTGCTTCTTGGCTGCACGGCGCCTTGCTGCGTTCTCCCTGTGACGGGCTCTCTTTGCGTCTCGCTGTCGCTCCGGGGTGAGCACTTCGGGGGGCGGAGGCCGACAGGTGGAGCAGTAGAAGTCTTCTTCATCCCACTTGCGCGGCTCGCGCGGGACCTTCTTGTCGAACTTGTCCCAACACGCGATGTGTTGCCCTAAATTTTGGAAAAGGCCATGTAAGCTCGCGTCAGGAGGGGAGGTACAGCACAGGGCGAGAGCGTTAGGATAATGCCCTGCTCACATTTGCCGCACTGCTCGCACGCAGTGATAGGCTGGACTTCGTCCGGACTGACGGCCGAGACGCCGCACACCTCGCATCTGTGCACAGGTGAACAAAGGCAAATTAATGTCAGAGATTGACCCAGTAAAGACCAAAAAGCGGTGGTCGGCTGCAAACGCACTCGAGCACCCAATCCTCCTGCACCAGCTCTGGCTCATTTGCCTTCTTCCTTTGCTTCTTTCCTGCAGTACCGTCCTCGTCCTCCGAATCAATGGGGACACCGCCGTTAGCGATGATGGCCTCGCGCTTTCGTTTGCGCTCCTCCCTGGCGAGTTCGCGCGCGGCACGCTCCTCCTCATCGCGCACGAGCCGCTCGGCGATCTCGCGCTCTCGTGCGGCAGCGCGCTCCTCTCGCTCGCGTATGCGGTCCTCGCGGCTGCGCTGCGCCTCAAGCGCCTCACGCTCCTTGGTCGCCTTGGCGTCGTCCTCCTCGCGGATGCGTGCCATGCGCGCCTCCATCTCGGCGCGGGCCTGCGCATCGCGCTCGCGCTCGGCTGCCTCGCTCTCCTTGATGGCGATGCGTGAGCTACGCTTACGCGCCGCCAGCGCGATCTCGAGCGCCTTCTCCTTCTCGCGCGCGTCAAAGTCGCTGAAGACCTTCTCGAGAACCGACTCGTGCAGTAGCTCGTGCAGCGCCTTCTCGTCCGGATGGCGAGACTTGGCAAACTTAACCGCAAACTCCTCCCACTCCTGACGGGTGACACAAACCGCTTGGAATTCGATCCAGTCGGTGTCATCCTCCTCTTCCTCCTCCACCACATCTTCCTTTTCCTTCTCAGCAGAGGCCCCCTGCCCAGCCTCAGCAGTGAGATCAGCAGCGTCAGGCCCCTCGCTCTTTGCAGCGCCCACGGCTGCCGCATGACCCATTGCAGCATCCCCATCGGCATCGAGGCGCTCAGCAGCTGTGCCCTTGTCGATGCCCTGACTTGCTGCGCCACTATCACTATTAGCGCCGCCCTCGCGATCGACGTCCATTTTGGCCTCGTCGTCGCCGTATGGGGCCGTTTCCGCCGCGCCAGTATCCGGCGCAGCATTCTTGCCCTGCGCTTCTTCCGGCAGCTCGGCATCGGTAGACGAAGATCCCTCCGCAGCATTTGCTTCGGGCCCAGCGACTTCCACTCCGTCCTCTTTCGCTTCAGACTCGGCAGCAGCTCTGGCTTCGACAGCAGCCTCGCGGACCGCGGCATCCTGCTCCCCCCCTCCCTCCTCCATATCGCTCGCAGTGCCCTCATCGGCACTCAGCTCCGAATCGTCGGAGGCGACGGCCTCGGCATCGCGGCCGGCGCTCTTGACTGCACACATTGACTTGGCTGCAGCACGAGCAGGGTGGCCCGTCTCCATGAGCGTGTAGAACTCCTCCGCGGCCTCGTCGCCGTCGTCAGCAAAGGTGCGGCTGCGGCTCTGGCGCGTGCTCTTCCTGCGGCCGTCGTCCTTGCGCGCGCGCAGGCGGCGGCCCTGGCGGCTCATTTCCTCGACGGGTGACGCCGCCGCTGCCGCCGCGGCGACGCTAGCGTCAGCGAGCCACTCTCTCGGCGGGACCTCCCAGCCGTCGGCGTTGATGTGGTCGTCGGACGTCAGACGGCGTGAGGCGCGCAGCGGAAGGCGCTTCGGCGGGAATGCATTCGACAAAGGAGGAGAGACGAAGCCGTGCGCGCCAAAGCCACGCCGCAGCACCTTGGGGGACGCGGTTCCAGCAGCTCCCTTGCCGAGCTTAGTGAAGCCCTTGTTCTTTTTGGCATTCGCCACTGCGGCCGCCTCTTGCGCGTCGCGCTCCTTCTTTCGCGCGCGCGCAGCGGCCGCCGCCTCCGTCCTGGCACGCTTGCTGCTCATTTTCGGGGTGGCGCTGCCCTCCTTGGCCTTGGCCTTGGCGGACTTGGCGAGCGCCTGCTGGCGCTCCTCCTCGCGCAGCGCCTCAAGCCATTCAGGCTCGGGCTCGTCCTTTTGCCTGCGCTTGCTCAGCGGGCGCGTGTCTGGGTGCTGGAGCCACAAGCGGTTGTCATCAAAGAGGTAGTACGCGTTGCCGTGGCGGTCCCATCCGATTGGCTCGACGCGCTGCCAGATGTGCGCCTCGTCGTCGTTGCTCAGGAGCCTGCGGAAACGCTCCGGCTGCTCCTGTAGCTGCCACTCGCACAGGTCGTGCAGCGCGCTGACCTTGGCGGACAGCGAGAGTGTCGCCCAGTCGCGTGGGGACTCGTGTGTACCAAGCTTGTGCGGGCGCGAGCGCAGCAGGTACTGCTGGCGCAGGTGGTACTGCCAGTCAAAGGACGAGGAGGACGAGGCGCTGTTGGAGAGTGCTTTGTCGAGCGTCAACGTGTACAGTAGCCGGCGGATCATGTCGGGCACGAAGGCCGTCTCGCTGCCGTCGAGATCGTTTTCGAGGGCCTGTTTTGCGCCAAGAAGAGCACATGTGGTATAAGCACCCCGGCCGGAAGTCAATCAAGACAGGCCCTTTTTATCAGACGCAAACACCCACCTCTGTGTAGCCGAAGCCACTCATGCCAAATGCCTCCTCGAAAGTGAATAGAAATTGGCAAATGGCGGCAAACTTCCACATCTGCCGGAGCCGCGCGACGAGCGGCGACGGCGGCGGTGGTGGCGGAAGGGACGAGGCGATCTTGCCGATGAGCGACTTGTGCTTCACCTTGTCCTGCACCTGTGTGGGTGCGGGTGCTGCTGCAGGGAAGTCGCCGCCGCCCGATTTTCGCGGGCCGGCAGCGCCAGCAGCGGCGGTTGTGCGCGCACTGGCCGCGCGCAGTGGGCCCTGGGGCACAACGATAGCGGATGGTTCACGCGCAGCGGAACGCCGGGGCCTGTTGGAGCGCCGTCTCGACGCGCCTGTCTCGTCCTCGCCCTCGTAGTCGTCGTCGGGTAGCTCGGCGATGGCGCCACACGCGAGCGCAGGCGTGTTGCTGCCGTTAGTGGAAGACGCGTCGGAGGAGCCGGCGGGGGGGTGAAGCCAACCGTTTGTCTTGGCGTACGCTGCGGCCGTCGCTGCTGTTGCCGCCGCCGCCGCGGCGCGGCGAGGTGGCGGCATGGTGTGTGGTCTTTTGCGCCTGCCTTTACGCGGAGAAGTACTGAAAGAGAGAGATGCGTTTTGAGATCAAAAGTGATCAACTACTCTCTACTCGACAAGACACGCTCTCCGCCCTCCAACATCACGCGTCTCCTCTAGGCGCCAGCGTTGTTGCTCGCACGTGGTGGAGGCTGCGAAGATCCGCGACGATTCAGGCCAAAGAGCAGTAAAGTTCTGTCCAATGGGGTCCAGTTGGGAAGGCGCGGCACGGTCTTCTGACCTGACGTGAAGGGGGCGCAGACCAGCATGCAGCAGGTGGGGGGGGGAAGAGAGGCGAGCACAAAGAAGCAGAGAGTGCGTTCGCAGTGGGTGGACTGTGCTTAGTTCTACTAGTTTCAGAATGATGGAACCAGATACCGCAGCGAACCCCGCATTCCGCTTCTTTCTTCCGGCCTCCCCATTGAACCACTGAAGAGATATGCTTCCTTCGCTTGCTCGCTAGCTTGCCATCTTTCCGCATTGCTGACAGCGACGGCAAGCAGATCAGGGTTGCACGGCTGTTCGCACGCGCCTGCCCCTTTCGCAACCGCACATAAAGCGCACACCCGCGACGACATGCTCCCGACGGCGGTGACGCTGTCCAAGGCGTCGCGGCTGCCGCTGACGTCTAAGCAGGCGAACAAGAACTTCTACAAGGGCACGCGCACGGGTAACGTGCTGCTGCGCAAGCGCATCGCGCTTGTCACGCGCACTACGGGTGCACAGCTATACGATGCGCAGGGCCACGAGCGCACGTGGAACAAGCGCGTCGGCGGAAGGCTCGACGAGAGTCGAATGGTCAGCTTTGTCGTCCCACCCGGGCTGGCGGATACGAAGGTGGGCTACGGGGGCTGCCCCACGTCCAGGCAACATCTGCATGCATTCGTACATGCTTACTAACGCTCATACCCACACTTCCCCCTTTCTTTCCAGCTTAAACCCTACGTCTTCACTGGCAAGGAATCCGAGTCAGGCGTCCCGCGGCCAGAGCGGGGGTACCCAGGCGGGCCGCGCATGAGTGGGCCGCGGGCACTGGACGGGACGTACTACTCTTCGCTTATCGACGCGATTTCCGTGCGGCGCGCGCGGCAGCGCGAGGCCGAGAGCGACATGCGTGTCGTCCGCGAGCGCGTGCGGCAAAAGGCCATCCGTGGCAGCAGCAGTAGTGCGGCAGCGGACTCGGAGTCATCCAGCAGTGCCGCGGAAGAAAGCACGGATGGAGACAAGAAGAGCGTCCTCGGTCGGTTCTTCTCTCGGTAGAAGGAGCAAAGGGTCAGGATGGCAAGCGCTCCGTCCCTGTGGAGCACAGTGGGCTTTTAAGCTTACAGCAGTAGCAGCAGCAACAACAACAGTTCTCCAAGTAGCCGTCATTGTATCATACGCACTTTGCAGCAGTCAGCTGCCAACCTAGTTTCCTCCTCTCGACGCCTAGGGGCCAGAGGGGGTAAAGCACGAGCAGATCTCTTCTCTTCAAGGCGCGTACATGCCATGTGCCATCGCCACAGAAGAACCTAGCTGTTTAGAGAAATGTTCGCAAACAGCATCTATAGCCGATGCTGTGGCGTTGCAGAAGTAGATCCTCTCTCCTTGTCGAGAGATGCTACATATATGTTTGTGTGTGTGTAAAGAACCAGAGATTCTGACGATGAGGGAGCTCGATCTGGAGCATGAGAGAGATCTTGAGATTGGCAAGCGGAGTCGTAAGTATACGTATAAAAGTCGTCACCGATAACAAAAAGGCCATCCCTAATAGCCACGCTGTTATGCGGACTGTTCTTTGAACTTGCGAGTGCGAATGAAAGCTTCACTCGTCGCTGAGGGGCCTCCCGGCCGACCAGCATGCGTATGTATATGTGGCGATCTGTCGAGAGCTGTTTGCAGTCAAGACGGTCGTTACTTGGTATTGGCACCTTGACATTGGACGGTAGTGCGACAAGGCAGGGAAGGGTTATGTTGGCGGAGATCCGACGTCCGCCGACCGAAGCGCGCTAACCCTACTATTTGGTACACGCTACACAGAGTGCCAAGTGGATCCCATCCGCCGAGGGGGAGAATCGTATTCGATCCAGCACACATACGCATACCGTGGGCGTCGAGGTTGGGCATTTGTGCTGCAGCGTGCACCGTCGCTGCTCGCACAACAGATAGCCTCTTGTTCTGCTCAGCGGAAGCAAAGCATAAATACATACCCGCAGCAGCAGCGACTCTGCAGACCTCCTCACCGTCGTCGCTCGTTGGGGCACCCCGCGCACCGCCCCCAGCTTGCTGCTTGCAGTGATAGACGGACGCGCACACCCACCACCGTGTTCTCTGTGTTCGTTCCTCTACCTTCCCTCCTTGCAACAGGCTTTCTGCGTACTTGCGTGGCGTGCGTGCATACAATTTGGTTCTCCTTCGCTGCTGCACCTTGAGCACCTACCGCCTGGCGTCGCCCAGCATGGCGGACCGCACGCCGTACACGATCCTCGGGCAGACGTTCTTCATCGACGCGTCCTATGAGATCGCCAAGGAGCTCGGCCAGGGCGCCTACGGCTGCGTCGCCGCCGCCACGCATCGCCGCACTGGGGAGGGCGTCGCTATCAAGAAAGTCACCAACATCTTTAGCAAGCGCATCCTCACGAAGCGCGCCCTCCGCGAGATCAAGTGTGTGTTCTGCCGGTCGCTATTCAGAAACAGGGCTGCAGACTGACCCTTCTCCTTTCCCCTTCCTCCGCCGCCGGAGACTTCTCCGGCACTTTCGCGGACACAAAAACATAACATGCCTGTATGACATGGACATCATCAACCTGGACGCGTTCAACGAGGTCTACCTCTACGAGGAGCTCATGGAGGCCGATCTGCACGCCATCATCCGCTCCGGGCAGCCACTGTCCGACGCGCACTTCCAGAGTTTCATCTACCAGACCCTTTGCGGCCTGCGGTACATCCACAGCGCCAACGTGCTGCACAGGGACCTCAAGCCTGGTGAGAAAAAGAGATAGATGCATACTGATCGTAGCCCAATACCGATGGGCTGACCACTGTGCACGCGCCGCCGCCAGGCAACCTGCTTGTCAACGCTGACTGCGAGCTGAAGATTTGCGACTTTGGCCTCGCGCGCGGCTTCGAGACGGACCCGGAGCTCGCCGCCAAGGGCGCGGGTGGCTTCATGACTGAGTACGTCGCAACGCGGTGGTACCGCGCGCCGGAGATCATGCTATCCTTCCAGAAGTACACGACCGCGATCGACATCTGGTCCGTCGGGTGCATCCTCGCCGAGTTGCTTGGCGGTAAGCCGATCTTCAAGGGGCGCGACTACGTCGATCAGCTCAACCAGATCCTTCACTACCTCGGCACCCCGTCCGAGGAGACGCTGCGCCGCATCGGCTCCCCCCGCGCACAGGACTACATCCGCTCTCTTCCCTTCAAGGCCAAGATCCCGTTCAGCCAGCTGTACCCAGGAGCGAACCCGCTCGCACTGGACCTGCTCGACAAGCTTCTCGCGTTCGATCCCGCCAAGCGCATCTCGTGCGAGGACGCGCTGCAGCACCCATACCTGGCTGTTTGGCACGAGCCCGCCGACGAGCCCGTCTGCCCGCACAAGTTTGACTTTGGCTTCGAGAGCGTTGACGATGCAGACGGCATGAAGCGCCTCATCCTTCAGGAGGTCCAGAGCTTCCGCAGCGAGGTTCGGCAGCAGAGCAGGCCGCAGCAGCAGCAGCCGCGGCGACAGGAGAGGTGAGTTCCTGGTTTGAGTGCTAAAAGCGGTCGTCGATAGCAAGCCAAAGACGCCGCCACCGCTCACTCTGACATGTCTCTCATTTTTTCTTCACACAGCTTGCCCGTCCCGAGCCGCGAAGAAGTTCTCAAGAGCAGCCCAACAGACGAGAATAGGGGTAACAGCATCCTCGGCGCGTCTTCCGCGCTCGTACAGGGCGCACAGCTACCGGATGCCCAAATACTGGAAGACCCAAGCGGTGTGTTTTGCCGTCCCACGTGATCGCCGACGTCGATTGTTCGCTGACATCTTGACCAAACCCTGCAGAGGCCTTCGAACGAGAATTACAAGGGCACCACTGACCCAGTCGCCCATTGTGACATGTCATGATTTCGTTAGCTGGTCTTTTGTATAGAGTACAATGTAAAGAGGATGTTCGGGTGTCAAGTGGGGTACGATGTCAAGAACTCAAAGATTCCTGCCGGATGCTGGGATGTTTAAAAATGCTGAATGATGGTGGGCTTCAGATGCTAAATTTCCTTCTACGCTTTCGACGGGCTGTTCGGCCAGCTGAGCCCGCTTGGCGAGAAGGGTACACCCGCCTCAACAGAGATCAGCGAAGAATTGTTGCGCGGCAATTGCGCTTTTGGACGGACAAGGCTCGTCTTGCTAGTGTCCGCGGCCACCGCTGCTGCGCCTCTGGATGCAGGCCGATCGATGTCCAGTGCGACGGACGTGCGACGGCTCGCTGCAGCGGAAGGAGGCGAGCCGCTCTCGCGCAACCGTCCTGCGAACTTGTCTACGCGCGCTTTGGAGTGCGAATTTGACACAACGCTCGAAGGGTCGATGAACGCGGTGCCGCTGCTGACCCGCGCGAGCGCGTGGCTCGTGTTGGAAGACGGCGATGCGGTGCGGTGTTGTTGCTGCTGCTGCTGCTGGCTGCGAAAAGCAGCCACGTTCGAAAGAAGAGGTGATTGTCTGCGAGTGGGTTGGCTCGTTGCGCTCTGCGGTCGAGGCTCCACCTTATCGTGTCCCCAGTAGCTGAAGCTGAGCTTGCTCTGTCGCACGTATCGGTCGAGCTCGATCACATCTTCGCTGCTCGCATCGCTGTCTGTCTTTTCCACTTCCGCCTCCTCAAGCAGCGTCTCTTCGTTGACGCTGTGCGATTCCTCTGGCTTCTCAGCAGCCTTCCAAGACTGGATGGCGATAAATTTGTACAGGTTGCGCGTCTTTGCCCGCAGCGTCGTGTTGCGCAGCGCTTTCAGCCGATCCTTGCTGTCCTTTGCACTTGAAGCCAGACTGCCAAAGTCTGCTGCGCCATCGAGCGACTGAGCAGGGCCCGTCGGTCGGATCGCAACCGAGCTGGCCATGGGCAAAGCCGTGACGCCGACACGCTGACAGCGGAGCTCGACGTCGGAGAACTTGACGATCCAGATGTCCTTCTTGCTTCCCATGTTTGGCGCCTTGCTCTTTTGCTGCTTTGGATCTGTGGCGAGAAAGTCCGATAAGCGGCGGTAAGATCGCTTGGAGCGAAGCGAGTCGCGAAGGCTGCGCTGCGCGGGAGAAGTCAGCTCTGCAACCTCGCTATCGGAAGCGTTGCCTGTAGAGCCCGAAGGACGCATGCTACCGTTGCTGTTGCTATGCGGAACACTGGGCGAGTTTTCCGAGAGTGCGCGCTTCGGCGCCTCGTCGTAAAGCGGCTTTTCCTCGATCAGGAAGCGGTCGCCGCGCGGTTTGAGCAGACGCCTATCCGCGACGCCGTCGATGCGGGCAAAGGCGTCGCGCGCCTTGTCACGCTCCTCTGCGCTGACCTTCTCATCTTCAATGCTGCGCACGATCCGCTCGACCTCGACAACCATCTCGACGGTGCTTTCAAACTCGTGCGTCGAAGGGTCGGTGTGGAAGAGTAGATTCTGGAAGAGAAGCGGGTACTTGAGCAGACGTTGGAACGGCTTGGAAATAAAGATGGCCAAGCCTGGCTCGCCATAATCAAGCGCGAAGGCTTCGAGCACGGCGATGGCACGTCCAAGCGCGACGGTCTGCGACAGCTTCTCTTTCTTGATGCGCTTGCCTCGCATGGCGCGCTCCATGAGCATCGCCTCGTCAATCTGCTCGAGCGCGCGCTGCAAGTGGCACACGTACGTGGCGTAATGCTTGAGGATGAACGAGTAGCGCATGAAGATGTCTGCGAGGGTGCGCACGAGCGGCCACTGCGCTTCGTAGCGCGCTTTGAGCGCTTCGGATAGCTGTTCGTGCGCCTCGAGAAGGCCCTGGGTCAGGGACTCGAGCACCAAGCGCAGCGACTCGGGCAAGGGGACGTTAATGCCCAGATTGAATGGGTCGCCCGGCTTACTCGCTTGCGAAGATGTGGGTGGTACAGCCATGCCAAAGACCGAGGCACTTGTGCGCCGTGTCGTCTTGCGGCGCAACTGTGCAGCTAGTGCACGCGCGTCCGAGCCGTCTGGGCTGCCGCTGCTGGGCATGGCGATTCCAAGGCCTCTGGCAAAGTTACTCGGCCCGACACCACCACTGCCGCTGTGTGATAGAGCCATCATACCTACGCCGCCGGAGCTGGTCCGGCGCCCGCCAGTGAAAGCAGGGGAAGACGGCAGGCCGAGCTTAGTTCCGCCTTCCCCGAACGCCGACGAAGCAAAGCGCGACGCGATCGGAAGCTGTTGAGACGATCGTGCGGATACTGAATTCGACGCGGATGCGGACAGATGCATCTGCATCAATGCTGCCTGTTGATGCATGCTCTCACGCGGACTGGCAGGAGGCGGGCTGGCGGGCGGAGAAAAGCGCAGGGGATGGAGCAGCGCATCGACGTACAGGTCCTTCATCTTTTCCAACTCGAGCACGTACCTGCAAGTGCACGCAAGTCGTCTCATCAGCTCTGCCCGCGCATAATTGCCCAGCACGGTAAAAGGGGAGGAGAAGGGAACAAGCAGTGCGACTCACCTCTCTTCGCTCGCGACAATCTCCCACAGAACCTCCTGCCTCGTGCGCTCCCTGCTGCCCAGATTCAACACCAGCTCTTCCTCCGTCATCTCGCTCCAGCTCGGCGCACCAATGGACTTGGCTCCAACGCTGCCGAACCGATCTGCGGCACCACCACCACCGCCACTCGAGCCAGCGCGGGAGCGATAGGAGCGGAGTGAAAACGCGTCGTGCGCGGCGCCATTAGGCGTAGGCGCTGGCTCGCCGTCGCTGCAGGTCGACGGCCGGTGGGGCAAGCCGGAGGAAAGGCTGAGCGCCGGGACGAGCGCCGGGCCGCTGCTTCGTCTGCCCGCGGAAGCCGCAGTTGCGGGCGCGGCCGAAAGGGCATGCGCGGATACGGACGGGGCCACAGACAGCGGCGACGTGGAGCGGTGCACACCGAGCGCCGACGCAAAAGGGATGCTATTCTGCGCGGGGAGGTGCGCGAAGGCGTCTTGGTGCGTGAGATGGATCATCGGCGCAGGGGGTGCCGAGGAGGCGGAATTGGAGTGTGCGCGCTGCGAGTGGGAGTGCGTGTGAGGATTCGCGTGGGAGTGTGAGTGCGACAGGGAACTCACCTTTTCAACCGCAGAGGAGCCGTAACCTGTCGCCGAAGCAGAGGCTGAGGCGGATGCCGAGCTCCGCCGGCCTTTTCTGCTGGCGCTCGCGCTCGGCACATGGTTGTCACCGGCAGTGGCGGCGTCTGCCGCTGTGGCTGTGCCCTCCGATGCGCTAGTGGCGCTGGCGCTGACCAACTTGGACCTCATGACGCCAACAGCAGACGCATAGCCGGATGATGCGCCGTCATCGTTGGCGCCATTTGCAGAGAGCTGTTGCCGCGAGCTGGGGCGGCCGATGCCGAGCGACGCGAGGTCGTGCGCGGGCGCCGGGCGGGCCCAAGAGGAGGAGGCCGGCCGCGGGAAGCCCAGGTTGCTATCTGACACCACAGTGGCGGCAGAGACTGAAGCAGGGGGCGTCGAGGAGGGGGTGGAGGAGGACGCAGCAGCACCAGCAAAGTCCAAGAAGGCGTAGCCGCCGCCGCCGCTGGCGGTTGCGCTTCCAAAGCGCTGTTCGCGCTGGGTGGAGGGCTTGATGGGCGACGGTGCAAAAGCGACCTGCTTGGATGCCATACCCGTCGACGACGGCGCGTCGGGTGTGAGGGGCCGTCTGCGCTGCGCCAACGGCGCCTTGTCCCCAGCTGCTGCATGCGCGTGTGCAGAGGCCGGCGCTGACGCAGTCGAAAGCGGCATGTCGGACAACAACGCTGGCGCACCGCTGGCCGAGCGGCTTGAAGCCATTGGATCGTTGATGATCGCTACGTGTGCGACGTCTCTGCCGTTGTCCATCGACGTCGGGGACAGCGGAGGTGGGGATGACGGTGCTGATGCAGTGCCCCCCGCCGTCTCTTTCTCTCTTTCCGGGCGGCGCTCTGGGCCATTCAACCCGGCAGAACTAGAGAACGCGGCTGCTTGTGGTCTGGGTAAAGGCGGTGCGCCCACGCCCGCCACGGTCGTCGTCGCGCCAGAGGAGGTCGCGGTGGCTGCACTGCTGAGCTCTTCGAACCTGGCTGCCATCGCGCGCACGCGGTCTTTCGCGGGTGGCTGCGGGGGCGCGCTCGCATTCGCAGCGACATGCCCTCTCCCATCACTGGTGAAGAGGGCGACCTTCTCCGTGCAAGCTTCTGCTGGCGCTGCGTCAACGAAACCAGGTACGGGTGCGCCGTTGAAGCGCGAGAGGAACTTCTTCATGGTGCTGTTCTTGATGCGGATAGTGATGCAGGACGGTAGGGTGCCGGAGCCGCACGGGGCATGATGCTGATGCTGATGCCGATGCGAGGCAGCTCAGGTCCGCGGCGAGAATATCGGCGCGCACGCCGAGCCGGGAGGCAAAAGGTGCAATAATAAGACTTCCTGTTTGGCGCTTAGCACCGTGCGCCGCGCATGCCTGTCTGTCCGCCTGCCTACTTGCCCCATGCAGGAGCTGGCAACTTGTAAGCGACGGCTGTTAGCTGTCGGACGGAGGTCGTACCCCGTGGCCTTTTCCGTCTTCGAGAGTTGAGGCGTGAGGTGGGGCAGCCGAGAAGTCGAAAGCTGGACGTTCATCTACGAGTGAAGATGAACGACGCTCACGCTCACGTTCGCTGTCGGCACTGCAGTCTTACTCAGACTCTGGATAATGCAGCGCGTATTCCCCTGGCTGTGAGCGTGGCTTGATGAGGCTCCTAGGTGCCCCTGTGCGCCGACAAGTGGACGGCACGCGATGTGTGAGCTGTGGGGTGCGGAGTGCGAGGTGCGATGCCCTCTTGGTTCTGGAAAAGGACAGCACAAGTGCGATGAGACAAAGCGTCCGTCTCCTATTGTGCTCGAGAATCGGTACCTATACTCGGAGGAGTGTCTTCGTCGGTGCGGATCCACTTTTTTGCCGCTGAACAGAAAACCAATAAACGCACACACCCGCCA